GCCTGCGGAACCCGTCGGGGACCGTCGGAAGTGTGCGGAAGCCCTCGGGGCCCTGTGGTCACGTCTGGAGACCACCGGACACAGTCGGAGGCAGGCACGCCGAATGTCGAGCAGTCCTACCTCGTCTTTGGCATACCCGAGCCTCCCGCCTATCTGCCACGCGCGGACACGCGGAGGCATGATGTCTGCCTCTGGCGCGAGTCGGAGACCGTCGGGGGCCCTTGGGGCTCCGCCGGGGGCCGCGGCATCGTTCAGAGGCAGCTCGAAGGCGCAGGGGCCTGAGGCGCAGGGGCCGTGAGGCCGTCCATTCCAGCGGCGGGCCTGGAGAAGCCTTCAGAGGCCTTCCTTCCCAGACCCCCGACGTCATGATTTTTTCATGACGTCGACCCCCAGGGGTCTCGACGATGAGCGTGCCAGAAATGGTGCTTTGGAAAGATTCACGCTATGCGGGCGCAACAGTTATGTTGATTCGCTGTGTTGAAATCCCAAAAATGACGTTCTGGCACAATTCTGGATCGTCAGGACGCAGCAATCAGGTTGATGCGTGGCCTGGAAATCCCGAGAACAATGTTTTGGCACGCTTCAGGATCTTCAAACTGTTGTCTTCCAACGAAGCAGTTCCCTCAATGGTAATGAACCGTTGTATGGGGCCTATGCATGAGGGAGCTTGGAGGGAGGGTTAATTCCAACATCGTTGATGACTCTTGGGTTTCCACTGGTCCTCTTCCTCCTCCTCCTCCTCCTCCTCCGCCTCATCACAATCATCATCCTCTTCATCATCATCATCAAATCATCATCATCATCATCACATCACATCATCTTCATCATCATCATCATCCACATCATCATCATCAGCATCATCATCAGCATCATCATCATCATCATCATCATCATCATCATCATCATCATCATCATCATCATCATCATCATCATCATCCCTCTCATCCCTCATTCCCCCTCCTCCTCTGGGGGAGGAGGGGGGGAGGCTTCTCGGGAAGGAGGCTGCTTCTTGGAAGGCGCGGGCCTTGCATCTACGGATCAGGCCCTCGCCTTCTTCTGGGAAGCCCAGGGTGCTTCTGAAAAGCCTTCCCCCCCTCTTCCCCGATGCCCCCTCTGCGTGGGGCCGAGGTGCCCCGGTCGAGAGGCCCTGAGAGGCTCGCCATCGCTCGGAGGCCCACTCCCGGTGCATGCTTCGGTGTCGTGCGCGTGTTGCTTCAGGAGATAACCCAAAATGCTACTCGATGGTCCTCGCCGAGGTGCACACGTTCGAGCGCTGCCAAAGAGGTCCGAGCGATGCCAAGGAGGTCGGTCCTGTTCTCGGTCAGCGAGATGCACTGCGTCTCCACGGCGGTGCTGTCGGCATCGTCGGCCGCCAGGAAGGCCACAGAGTCCGTGGAGCAGCTGGGCGCGGGCGAGGCGTGGCGGCAGCGCGCGGAGGAGCAGCAGGACCAGGAGCGAGAGCAGCAGCAGGAGCAGAAGTGACAGCCCGACCACGAGGAGGAGCAGCAGGAGCAGGAGGTGAGGGAGGGAGGGGGGGCGCGAGAGTGGAGACGCGAGGGGGCGGAGGAGGGCGAGGACGGGGAGGACGAAGAGCTGGAGGAGGGGCAATTAGGGGAAAACGATTGGATCGGGAGGAGGAGGAGGAGGAGGAGGAGGAGGAGAGGGAGGAGGTAGGAGGGAGGAGGCGAGGAGCGGATTGGCGGAGGCTGAGAGCGGAGGCGGAGGCGCGAGGAGGAAGGCGGGTGAGGGAGGCGGAGGCGGAAGGAAGGAGGTGGAGGAGGGAGGAGAGAGGAAGAGGAGGAGGAGGAGGAGGAGGAGGAGGGGGCAGCAGCGGCAGGCGCGGGAGGCCGCCGTGGACGCGGCACGGCAAGGAGCAGGCGCACGCGGCACGGCGGGAGAGAGGCCGCGCGCGGCCCGAGCGCCCAGCTGCCAGTCCGCCAGGGGCCGCGGCGCGCGCGCGGAGGCGGGGGCACGCGGAGGCGCGCGCGCGGCCAGCTCGCCGAGCGCACCCCCGGCCGCTCGGGGCCCGCCTGCGGTGGCAGCTCATGGGCACCTCCCATACCTTAGCGGGCCCTGGAAACGACAGGGCAGTTTTTTCACCGGTTCGATTTTGCCGTTTTTGTTGCCGGTTCCGACGCCGTTTTTTTACCGGTTCCGTCGCCGTTTTTTGACCGGTTCCGGCTCCGGTTCCAATCCTGGAGCAGTTTTTGTTGCCGTTTCCGGTCACCTTTTTTTGCCGTTTCCATTTTCAAGGGACATTTTTTGGAAACGGTGAAAAAACGGCCCTGCCGTTTCCGGGGCCCACTAAGTCCCATACCATCTTGTCGGATCTTGCGGATCGACGCTGGTGGACGCTACATCCACGCGAAGGAGCGCCAAATCGACGCTCGTCGACGCCGACTGGCGCCAAATCGGCGCCGGCTCGTCGACCCCCAAGCGCTGATCGGCGCTGGCCGACGCCGAAGACGGAATTCTGAGGGTACAGCAGGCTCCCATGATTTGCTACCGAAGCCGCCCGTTGGAGCCACGGCGCGAAGCAAGGCGGCAGCCAGATGGGGGGGGGCGGGGTCCACACCTGCATCGCCCTGCAGAGCATCGCGGCAGCCGGGCCTCTCTCGGGGCCTGGGCCTCTTGGGGGGGTCGGCGGAGCTCGGGCCCTTCTGGGCCCACGGGGAAGGGCCCACGACCCACGGGGAAGGGCCCACGGAGCTCCTCGGAGCCCCGCGCACCGACAAAAGACCTGGGCGTCGGAGGTCTGGGGAGGCAGAGGACGATCAGCAGGGATACGCCCAGCCCGGCGCTCAGGGAGCGCCCGCCGCCAGCCCGTGCCCAACCACTTGGCCGCCAGGCGGCGCGCAGCTACAAGGCAAAGTGGGGTGTTCGGTGCGACCTGGTTCGTTTCGGTAGCGAAGGCATCGAGTAGAATGGGCGCATACGAGGAGGAATGTTGCAAGAAGAAGTCGACGGTCACGTTCTGCTTTGACCCCTGGACTGCCAGAGGTGTCCAAGGGCTTCTGTGCCCCCCCCTGTGGCATCGTGAGACAAGGAATGTCCGTGAGGCACCTGCTGGCAGGCCGGCTTCCGATTTCGTGCACCCAATTACTGCATGATGTACCCTCTGAAAGGAAGAGGAGGAGGAGGAGGAGGAGGAGGAGGAGGAGGAGGAGGAGGAGGAGGAGGAGGAGCCCCTGAACCCGCAACCTACAGATCGCACCGCGAAGGTGCCGCAGGGAGAGGCCGGAGCGCGGAGAGGATCGAAAATAGGGGGCCACTTGCGAACCCTACCCCTACCCCCATGATTTCTGAGGGGGAGGGGGAGGGTTCGCATGTGGCCCCCTGGAAAAGCATGCAAACAGTGTGAAACGGGGCGAGGTCACAGCTCGCGCAGCGCGGCCGCTGCCTCGGGAGAGGGGCAGAAGCAGTCGCCGGAAGCGCGTCCCCCGGGGGGGGGGAGGGGGGACGGGGTTCCCCCGGGGCTGTCGGCGACCCGAGGAGGGGAGGGCGAGGAAGGGGAGGAGGAGGAGGAGGGGAGGATGGAGGGAGGAGAGAGGAGGAGAGGAGGGAGGTGAGAGGAAGGGAGAAGGAGGAGGAGGAGGGAAGAGGTGAAGGGGAGGAGAGGAGGAGAGAGGAGGAGAGGAGGAGGAAGAGGCAGGAGGAGGAGGAGGTGGAGTGAGGAGGAGGGGGCGGAGGAGGAGGAGGAGGAGAGGAGGAGGAGGGAGAGGAGGAAGGAGTAGAGGGGGAGGAAGAGGAGAATGAAGGAGGGGGATGAGGAGGAGGAGGGAGGAGGAGGAGGAGGAGAGGAGGAGGAGGAGGAGGTGGAGGAGGAGAGGAGGTAGGAGGAGAGGAGGGGGGGAGAGCAGGAGGAGTAAAGGAGGAGGAGGAGGAGGAGGAGGAGGATAGGAGGAGGGAGAGGAGGAGGATGAGGAGAGGAGGAGGAGGAGGCGGAAGACGGGTCGCCTAAGCCCTCGGAGAAACCCTCCAAGGGAGGAGTGCTGGCCCGCCGGAGGGGAGGCCCCAGTCCACGGGACGAGGCCAGGAGAGGGCCTCCCGCGCCGCAGCGCGGCCGGCCACATTCAAGAGCAGCCCGAGGCAAGAGTGGCCTGTGTGGTGCGCGCCTCCTCGTCCTCCTCCTCCTCCTCCTCCTCTCCTTCCTCCTCCTCCGCCTCCCTCCTCCTCGTCCTCCTCCTCCTCCTCCCTCCTTCTCCCTCCTCCTCCTCCTCCCTCCTCCTCCTCCTCCTCCTCCTCCTCCTTGGGGGGACCGTGCGAAGGCCAAGTCCAGGCGCGCAGGCCAGTGCTGGATGGGGGCCCTGTGGGCCCACCCCACAGGTCAATCTGGCGAAGGGCCACTCTTGCGCGCAGCCGACACGGGCCCTCGTGTGATGGGCCTCGTTTCCACCACAACCACCATAAGTTGGAGGAGGAGGAGGAGGAGGAGGAGGAGGAGGGAGGAGGATGAGAGAGAGAGGAGGACAGGAGGAGGACGACGAGGAGGACGAGAGGAGGCGAGGAGGAGGAGGAGACGAAGAGGAGGAGGAGGAGGAGGAGGAGGAGGAGGAGGAGGAGGAGGACCCCCTCCCCCTCCAGCTCATGGTGGTGGTGGTGGTGGAAAACAGGCCCATCATCGTGTCTCCCCCCCCGGCGAAGGCCCGCGCACCCGCGCGTCAGCGGAGGCAGAGCGGGGTGGATAGCCCGGGGTCGGGCACTACATGCATTCGCTGAGGAGCCTCGTCGAAGACAGCGGGCGATCGGAGCCTCTGGCAGGATCAGCCAGCATCGATTCGGAACACCGGGCCGGGTCGGATCGGAACGTTGCGTCGGGCCAGGCCGCATCGGCACGGAGTCGGAACCGAACCGCATCGGAATGCGCCAGGATGCACCTCGCCACCGTGCAGGCATCGGGCCACATCGGCTCGTCGAAGCCTCGAAACCGAATCGGACGGGGCCGGCCGAGCTCGCAATCGAGGCGCATCGATCGGATCGCAGCGGGGCCTGCTCTGGGCACACGCCGTGCCCTCCCCCTGCGGGGCCGTCCGCCCCCGCTGTGCAGCCGCCGGCCGCGGCCACTACACGCAAGAGTGGCCCCGTGGGCCAGAGCGACCGTTGGTGCGCCACGCTCGGGGGGCCGCGGGGAGGCCGAGGCCGAGCGCGCCAGACGCGGCCAGCGCATCGCGCTCGGGCACCCGGGGAGCCCAGTGCGCCCGCACCAAGAGGTCACTCTGGCGAGAGGTCGCTCTTGCGTGTAGCGGGCGAAGAACGGCAGAACAGACAACCTTTTTCCGTCACTGGGGGGGCGCCGGTCCCAGGGCGGCTGGGAGGCTCATACGCTGACGTGCCACTGCAGGGGAGCCATGCCCTGGGACAGGCGCCCCCAATGGCGAAAAAGTGTATGTCGTGCCGCTCTTCGCCCGTTGCTACGTTTGGGTCGGGCATGTCCTCCAACGGGCGGAACATGGAAGAACAGCCAAAACAGAACTAACTGAACAACCAAACAAAAAACATCAAAACATGCTCAAACGGAGCCAAAAATAGTCGCAAGATCGCTCCCAGGACTAGGTCTTGACTCTTCTGGAACCCTCCCCCTGTAGAGGGACATGCCCAACGTAACACTGTGTGTGGGACACTGCGCCGCCGCTCTGCCCCCAGCGGATGGGCCTTGCCGGCGTGGCCGCCGCTGTCCCGCAGGGCCTGCAGGACCCAGACCCGCCCCGCGTCGGGGAAGCGCGCGCAGAGGCGCTCCACGACGGGGCCCCAGGCCTCCTTAAGGGTACTGTCAAGGAGTTGGTCCGGCGGCCTCCCTCTGCGGCAACGCCCGGGAGCCTGCCGTCTGTACCCTCTCGCTGGCTCTGTAAAACATGGCTAGGATCGGGATAAATCGCACCAGAGCGTTCCGGAGCCCTCTCAGAGCGTTCCGGAACGCTCTGGAGCGGCCGCGGCGCCCAATACATCCTCCAAACCCGCCGATTCTCAGAGATTTCGAATTATCCCGATCCGATTTTGTCCCGATCTTCGTGTCGTTTTACGGGAGCCTGCCGTCTGTACCATCTTGCGGGCTCTGGCGAATCTCGGCGCTGGTCGACGCCAGCCGACGCGGGTCGGCGCGCACCAGCGGCGACGAGGCAGCGCCAGTCGGAGGCGCAGCAGCACCAGAGCTGCGCTACGTCATCGACTGTACCAGAAGCTGGTCGACGCGAGGGCACTCTGAAGATGGAGCAGCGAAGGTGTACGAGGCTCCCATGCTTGATTACCGAAGACCCAAGACCCCCGACGTCATGATTATTTCTTGACGTCGACCCCCAGGGGCCTCGACCCCTTCCCTGGGACCGGCTCTGCATCCTGAGTCGTTTGCTGACGGTCCCCCGGCCCGGTAAGGGTCCCCAGTCGGGGATGGACTGACCTCCCTGTAGTAAAACGTGGTTTAGTGAAAACGACCTGAGGCCCAGACCTGGCGGGCGCAAACCTGGAAAATAACGGCCACGGCGCCCTCTCGAGAACCGAACACGGACAATTCACGAATCGACGTGTCACTGTTGGGGGTTCTGTCCACCCCCGACCCAGAGGCCGAAAATGTCGAAAATCCCACCGTCATGACTTGTTCACGACTCGAGGGGGTCTGCGGCCTCCCCTCGTCGCGAGGAGAGAGCACGACGGGCGGGCTGTGGCTGCTTGCGGTTTCCGAGGGGGGAGCCCTCGCAGAGGCTCCCGGGTGCCGTCGAGGGCACGGCTCGGGATGGGAAGCGGGGCCCCCGGGGAGGGTCCAGGCCTCCAGAATCAGGTCGGGCATGACCCCCTACAGGGGGATTCTGGACGAAGAATGAAAATTACCCCGGCAAAGCAACCTAACAGCGATGTGTAGGAGCATATCTGGAAGCATTCCCCTTAAGATTCAGATGAGAATCCTGTTGTAGAATTCTGCTGTTCTCGCAGTCGTAGTCGCACTCGCGATGGCAGTCGCAGTGGCAACGGCAGTCGCAGTCACAGCCTCAGCCTCAGCCTGCCTCAGCCTCAGCCTCAGCCTGCCTCAGCCTCAGCCTGCCTCAGCCTCAGCCTCAGCCTGCTTCAGCCTCAGCCTCAGTCTGCCTTCAGCCTCGGCGTCAGCCTCAGGCTGCCTCAGCCTCAGCCTGCATCAGCCACAGCCTCAGCCTCAGCCTGCCTCAGCATCAGCCTGCCTCAGCCTCAGCCTCAGCCTGCCTCTGCCTCAGCCTCAGCCTGCTTCAGCCTCAGCCTCAGTCTGCCGTCGGCCTCGGCCTCAGCCTCAGCCTGCCTCAGCCTCAGCCTGCATCATCCTCAGCCTCAGCCTCAGCCTGCCTCAGCATCAGCCTGCCTCAGCCTCAGCCTCAGCCTCAGCCTGCCTCAGCCTCAGCCCCAGCCTGCTTCAGCCTCAGCCTCAGTCTGCCTGCAGCCTCGGCCTCGGCCTCAGCCTCAGCCTCAGCCTGCTTCAGCATCAGCCTGCCTCAGCCTCAGCCTCAGCCTGCCTCAGCCTCAGCCTCAGCCTGCTTCAGCCTCAGCCTCAGTCTGCCTTCAGCCTCGGCCTCAGCCTCAGCCTGCCTCAGCCTCAGCCTCAGCCTCAGCCTGCCTCAGCATCAGCCTGCCTCATCCTCAGCCTCAGCCTGCCTCAGCCTCAGCCTCAGCCTGCTTCAGCCTCGGCCTCAGTCTGCCTTCAGCCTCGGCCTCAGCCTCAGCCTGCCTCAGCCTCAGCCTGCCTCAGCCTCAGCCTCAGCCTGCTTCAGCCTAGCCTCAGTCTGCCTTCAGCCTCGGCCTCAGCCTCAGCCTGCCTCAGCCTCAGCCTCATCAGCCTCAGCCTCAGCCTCAGCCTGCCTCAGCATCAGCCTGCCTCAGCCTCAGCCTCAGCCTGCCTCAGCCTCAGCCTCAGCCTGCTTCAGCTTCAGCCTCAGTCTGCCTTCAGCCTCGGCCTCAGCCTCAGCCTGCCTCAGCCTCAGCCTGCATCAGCCTCAGCCTCAGCCTCAGCCTCAGCCTGCCTCAGCCTCAGCCTCAGCCTCAGCCTCAGCCTCAGCTGCTCAGCCTCAGCCTCAGTCTGCCTTCAGCCTCGGCCTCAGCCTCAGCCTGCCTCATCAGCCTCAGCCTCAGCCTCAGCCTGCCTGCCTCAGCATCAGCCTGCCTCAGCCTCAGCCTCAGCCTGCCTCAGCCTCAGCCTCAGCCTGCTTCAGCCTCAGCCTCAGTCTGCCTTCAGCCTCGGCCTCAGCCTCAGCCTGCCTCAGCCTCAGCCTGCCTCAGCCTCAGCCTGGCTCAGCATTCAAAATGTGGCCCGGGAATGGAGTTCTGGAAACTCGAAGACCACGAAGTGGCCTACAGTTGGCTCCGGGCATCCAAAATGTGGCCCGGGAATGGAGTTCTGGGAACTCGAAGACCACGAAGTGGCCTACAGTTGGCTCCGGGCATTCAGAATGTGGCCCGGGAATGGAGTTCTGGGACCTCGAAGACCACGAAGTGTGTAACTGTTGGCTAAAAAAAATCCCCGGTACCCTCCCCCGGATCGCGCCCAGACCCCCCTGGGGCGTCATGATGCTGTCTTTTGACCCTACTAGAAACCAATCAGTCTTTGCTGCTAGGTAAATACACACGAAAAGTACTCGAACCAAGAAATCGTGCCCAGACTAGTTTTTGCCTATGTTTGAATATTCCTCCTGTAGAGGGACACGCCCGACTTCACTCCAGGGGCCCGCGTTGCGGCATTATCCTGGCGAAGGAACCAACCATACGCAGGTGTGAATACGGAAGGGCAGGCGGAACGAAAGGAGGGGAGCACACTCACTATGGGGCCACGAAACTTGCGAGGGGCGCCCGAAGCGGGAAGGACACTGCCACCTGGGGCCTTCGGTGGAGCTCGCTATGGGGCCGCGAGGCGCGCGAGGGGTGCGCCGAAAGAAGGCGGGGCCGCCATGCGAACTTTGCCACTGGGGCCTTCGATGGAGCTCCCTATGGGGCCGCGAAGCGCTCGAGGGGTCCGCCGAAAGAAGGCGGGGCCGCCATGCAAACTTTGCCACAGGGGCCTTCGGTGGAACTCCCTATGGAGCCACGAAGCGCGTGAGGGGTGCGCCGAAATGGGAGGTGGAACCGCACGCGGATTTGCCACGGGGGCATTCGGTGGAGCTCCGTATGGGGCCACATGCGACGAAATGGGAGGTGGAACCGCACGCGGTCTTTGCCACCGTGGCCTTCGGTGGAGCTCCCTATGGGGCCACGAACCGTGTGACGGGTGCGCCAAAAAGGAGGGCAAAACCGCACAAGCACCCTACGGGGCCACGAACCATTTGAGGGGTGTGCCGACATGTGCATGCGGACGGCAGCGGCATGGAGAAGGAAGAGAAGGAGGAGGAGGAGGAGGAGGAAGAAGTAGGAGGAAGAAGAAGAGGAAGGATAAGAGGAGGAGGAAGAAGAGAAGGAGGAAGACAAGGAGGAGGAAGAAGAGAAGGAAGAGGAAGGAGGAAGAAGAGAAGGAGGAGGAGGGAAGAAGAGAAGGAGGAGGAAGGATGGGAGACGCGGAGCACTGCTGATTCAAAACGAGGACCCGAGACCACCGGACGGTTGGACAAAATCACGACGTCGGAGTTCTGGGGTGGTCTGGCCCAAGGTCCCCCCGCCAGTTGGAGCCCCTGGGGCCCCCCTGGGGCCTCGCGAGGGGTGCTCTGGAGATCACCTGGGCCTCCTCCTTCTCCTCCTCCTCCTCCTCCTCCTCCTCGTCCTCCTCCTCCTCCTCCGCCTCCTCCTCCTCCTCCGCCTCCTCCTCCTCCTCCTCTGGAGGTCAGCTGGGCCTCCCTGGACAGCCAATGGAGCCACCTCGGGCCCGAGGAAGGCCCGCCTCTGGCAGCACCCCAGGGCTCCTCGTGCGGCGCCAGGGCCGCGCCCAGCCCGACGGGCGTGCACCTCGGGGGCCTCCCAAAGTGGCGCCCGGACACAAAACGCACATGTGTATTTGAAAGTGTGTCGTACGCAGTCGGCCCAGATCATAGGGATGCGCGATGAGGACGCAAGACGCAAGGGC